ACTATTAATTGCATGATGTATCTTTGTGCTACAGCACTTTGTACATATATTTTTTATGACTGCTCTGGTACTTCTTGTTGAAGTAGACCTTTAATTATCATGAGGTGTCACTCTTTATGTCTTATTAACTTTCTTAATTGTGAGTCTACTTTATCTGATATTAGTATAGCTGTTCTTGATTCATTTGGGTTGCCCTTTTCTTGTATAACAAACCTCTAGCCTTTAACTCTATACTTCTTCTAGTCTTGATTGGTAAGGTAAGTTTCTTGAAAACAACACAATTTTGTACTAGTTTGTGAATTCTGTTCAGCTACTCTACATGTCTTGAATTGCGAGTTTAGAATATTTACATTGAAGGAATTATTGAACTGTAAGTGCTCATATGCATTTTGTTTTATTTTTTGTTTATTTTATATTTTGGCTTTTCTAGTGCCTTTTTTTTCTTTTTTTTTTTTTTTTTGGTTTTGAGATCTCCTGTAATGTTTTGCTTATGTGCTTATGTTCCATTTCTGTTGTCTTTATGTATTATTTCTATTTTTTTTTATTTGCGATGCTTCTGCGGAGGTACTATATATTGGGACATTTGTGTGACTCGTTGGACTGTCTAGTCTTTAAATTTCTAGTGGATCACATTGCTATCTATGTTCCTTCTCCTTATCCATGTTAAGTAATTTAGTTATCAGTTGACATGATACTTATTGTTCTGTTACTTTACAATAATGCCTATATTGTTTCTCTCAATGCAGTTTAATATTGATAGGTCCTTTTATTTTTTTTTTATTTTTCAGTATAGGTCCTTTTATTTTTTTTTATTTTTCAGTATAGGTCCTTTTATTTTTTTTTATTTTTCAGTAATGCTCCTTACTCTTCCTTCTTTTTTTTTTAAAAATTTCATTTATTTATGCATACAAGAACTAGGGGGCAGGACAAACGTGCAAGGAGGGGGTAGGTGAGAGGATTCACCAGAGCCAGAGTGGGGAACAGAACAGGCAGACTGACTGAAACACACTGCTGATGGGAGCAGCGGGCAAGACAGGAGAGGTCTGCTGCACCATGTGGATAGCTCCCTGGCCAGTGGGGAATCAAACTCATGCTGCAGAGGCTGCGGATAGCTTCACAGCACTGTGCTTAACCACTTGCGCTACCAGGGAGGCCCTCCTTACTCTTTCTTCTATCTTGACTTGTTGTGTAATGGATTCTGGAATGGTAACATTGTTTTTTTTGTGTGTGTTTTTGTTTTTTTTTGTGGGTCCCTCACCTGCGGCCGGGGAACAAAGTGGTGCTGCAGAGGCTGCGGGCAGCCTCACAGGGCAGCACTCAACTGCTGTGCCACCAGGGGAGGCCCTGGTAACGTTTTTTAAGGAATTTTAAACATCGCTCCAGTTCCTTTGTACTGTTACTGTTTTTGCTTGCAAGTCTGATAGGTGTTCCCTTAAAGGTTAACAATTTTTACCTTTTTGCTCTTGATGTTTTTAATATTCTGTCTTTATTTTTGATTCCAACACCTTTACCATTATGCGCCTTGATAAATGTCTGTCTGGTATTATTTTGTATAACCCTTTAGGCCTCTTGGATCACAACTTCTTATTTATTTCACAGATTGAGATGTGTTCAGGGATTATTTCTATAATTTATTTATGCCTTTATCTTTTTCTGCTCATTTTGGAAACTTTGTGATACAGATAATTCTCTTTAAGTTTTCCTAGAGGACTATTATACTTTTTTAAATTGTTTTCTCTACATTGTTCTATTCTTGTATTCTCCAACATTGTGTATTAATTCTAATTAATTCTCTCCATAGTTTCTGTTTGTCTGTATTGCTGCACTCTCATGTCCACTTCCACTCTGTTTTTAGGCACTAGAAGCAGAGTGGGGCATCATATTGCAGATGACGTGGGGTCATAGGGCAAGAATTTTTCTCTTTTCCTCCTTCAGCAAGAACTTTGTTCTGAGACGTCTGTTCTCATTATTGGTAGGTATTAAAGGTCTAGTTTCTTCAAGTGTTTCTTTGTGGGAGAGTGGCAGGTATTTTGGATATCTTGGCTGAGTGTATAATGTGGTAGGAATTTTGAATATATCAGCCTAGATTGGGAGGAGCAGGTCTTTATAACTCAGCATAGGGTTCAAGTGATCTCCTGCTCTAGAGGGAAGTCCAAAGCATCTGACCTGATTCAGGCTGCAACCGTAATGTGTGAAGTGTCTTAGACTCAAGCTTAATGGTACTTGTTCTATACCCCCAACTATGCAGCTCTCTAAGAATGCACTCTCTGTCTTGGGTGTTTCTCATGAACCTCTTGTCTATAGCACTACCAGGATTTAGCAGTCTCAGTATCAGTGTGCACCCCAGTTAATATCTGTAAGGAGTACTGCATAGCAGCAATTACTCTTGCTTGTGAGTTGTACTGCTCCATATCACTCTCAAGTAATTTCATTGAATATTTTTCCTACCCTTTCCCACTGGACCAGAGCTCCTACTGCATACTGTGACCATTAGTGTCCGGGGCCGTGGCAGGCTATTGCGTAGCTTGAAATGCATATAGTTAACAGGCAGCCAGTAAAAGATGCACACGAGACACTAGGGCCAATCAGAGAAAGCCACACAGTCCAAGCATGAGGAACAGGCAAAGCGCAGGTGCAGCATAAGGTACTTAAGGGTAGGCGGAGAGGAAATAAAGTTCCTTTTTTGCAGCTTCTCATCAAGTGTGTCAACCTCTCATTTCATCCCCAGCCCCTCTTCCGTGCCTCTCGAATCCCATGGTTTGGGATAGGTGGCGCCCAACGTGGGGCACGGACACGAGGGTCTCCCTGAGGGACCAGTCTTTGGGCAAGCCGGCTGTGTTACAGGTAAGTTAGGGGAGACTGGGAGTCATGGGCAATAGTGTGTCCAAGGGGCAGCTGGCACATGCCTTAGAGATCTTACTGCACAATTATGGCACCCCAGTTAGAGGACGAGCTGTACGGCTCTTAGTGGAAATGTTAAGTCAGACCAGTCTCTGGTTCCTGAAGCAGGACTGTGTGACATTAGAAGGTTGGATTAAGGTGGAGGGAGATCTCCGGCTACACAGAGACCTGTATGGAAAAGACGCGGTTTCCCCAAACGTTGAAAGCTTGTGGCGGCTGATTAGAGATGCCTTACAAGCAGGCGGTGGGGAGGCATGTGCCGCGGCTACTGCCGCCCTTTGTTCGGCTAGAGCATCAGAGAGGGATTCCGGCAGAGAAAGGCTAGAACAACATCTTGAGGCAGCGAGACGGGTAGCTAGGGGGCCCCGAAGGCCCCGAAAGGCACTCCCGTCCGATGATTCCTCCTCCGAATCGGGTTCGGAGAAGGAATCAGAGGTGGAAGAGACGTGGCCACTGCCCAAATTAGAGCCTGGGCAGCCGCCGCCATCTTATGTTCCCCCTCCGCATCAGCCGCCATTTGCCACACCTAGTGCGCCTCTTAGGAGCAGCCCTTGGCGGTGATGGGGCATGAGGGGCAAGATGCCACGGGCATCCTTGAGCTTCTGAGAGCCATTAAGGACCTATTAACACCATCTTCCCACTATTACCCTGTACATGAAGTGGATATCCAGGGTATACACAGACAAGTGCATCAACCCACTGATTTTAAGGACACAAAGACATTAAAGGAGAGTGTGTCACAATATGGTTTGCAAAGTCCTTTAACTCAATCCCTGTTAGATTCTTTCACTGATAAAAATCCGATGCCTGATGATTGGAAAAATTTGTGTTGAGTGGTCATGTCCCCTGGAGATTATCTCATCTGGAAGGGGCTCTTTTTTGAAAACTGCGAATGTACCACTCGTCAAAATGCCGCAGTGGGTTTTCCCATATGCAACAAAGACATGCTAACTGGGGAGGGACAACATGCAGGAAGCGACCATCAAAAGGACAATGACCCTGCTGTGTTCACTCAGGTCGCGGTAGCGGCGAAGGCAGCTTGGCCGGCGAAGGCAGCTTGGCGAGCCATAGGGGATCGGGGAGGAGCAGATGTAAACTTGACGCGTATAGTACAGGGAGCCTCCGAGCCATTTGCAGACTTCGTGGCTTGGCTGATGACGGCAGCACGTTGTATTTTAGGCAACACAGAGGCATCTATTCCCCTTGTCAAACAGTTGGCTTTCGAAAATGCTAACAAGTGGTGTCAAGACGTTATCAGACCATGGAAGAATAGGGCAAACATTGAGGATTATATACAGCTATGCAAGGACATTAGTGAGGCATCAATCACGGGCAGCATGATTGCGTCAGCCTTATGAGGCTCCAACTCCTCCCGGAACAGAGGAGGCAACAACCCGCACCTGTTTCGCCTACAGAAAAACAGGCCATTTTAAAGCACAGTACCCCACTCTAGGATGGGCTATGATTCCTCCACCTAGTGCTCACAACACATGGAAGCTACCGCCTGGTCCTTGCCCAAAATGCAGAAAGGGTTCCCATTGGGCAAATGAATGTCGCTCTAAGTTTGACAGCAAAGGCCGCACCCTTCAACAAGGAAACGGCCACGGGGGGCCGAAGCCCCAGACTCCCCAGCTGTACGGGGCAATACAGATCATGGCAGACATACAGAGCTCCCAGCCAAACTATTCTCTGACCTCCCTCGCGCCACCAAGGGCAGCGGAGGATACGACCTCTCTGTAACCACATACTCAGTACTGACGCCAACCATGGGAGTACAGCTTCTCCCAACAGGCGTATACGGCCCTTTGCCAGAAGGTGTAATAGGCCTAATTATTGGTTGCTCTTCCAGCGCTTTAAAAGTTCTTTTGGTCATTCCAGGTTTAATAGATCAGGATTATACAGGTGAAATTAAAGTCATGGCACAGGCACTCCATGGCGTAGTCGCCGTCCAAGAGGGGGACTATGTCACTCAAATTATTCCTTTGCCATTCATGCCATCATCAGGGAAGTGCCTCCAACAGGTTAGGGGCTCCTCTGGCTTTGGGTCTTTGGGAGACAGCGTCATCAATTTGGTGTTGTCCCTAGAGGATTGACCATCCATGGCACTAAAAATTCAGGGAAAAGACTTCATCGGCCTCAGGGATATGGGTGCAGATACCTCGATCATAGCGTTTAAACATTGGCCATCGTCATGGCCTCTTCAGGAGGTCCACACCACCCTTCAGGGCCTGGGGTCCACAAAAAATCCTCAACGCAGCTCGGCAGTTCTGTCCTGGACACATGAAGAGGGCCACTCTGGACAGTTTCAACCTTATGTTCTCCCAAATATCCCCATGAACTTGTGGGGAAAGGATGTCCTCAGTGCTATGGGGGCGCTATTGGTGGTGGGGTCTCAGGTTACCCAGATGATGATTAATAGTGGATACACCCTAGGAAAAGGTTTGGGGAAGTCAGAACAGGGCCCTACCTCTTTTGACCTCCATTCGAACGTTAGGGCGGACGGGGACCGTTGAGGCCTAGGGATGGTCGCTCAGACCCCTTTTTCTTAGTGGCCACTGAAACGCCGCCTATACGGACCCCTTTATCCATTAGATGGAAAACGGACCGACCAGTCTGGGTCCCTCAGTGGCCACGTACAGATGCGAAATTGGAGGCAGCTCATTCACTGGTACATGAACAATTAGCAGCAGGGCATTTAATCCCCTCTACTTCCCCTTGGAACACCCCATCTTTGTCATCAAGAAAAAATCAGGGAAATGGTGCCTATTACAAGATCTTAGAGCAGTGAATGAGGCCATGGGATTGATGGGCCCAGTCCAACTGGGGGTCCCGGACCCCTCCAGTATCCCCAGGAAATATCACTTAGCTGTCTTCGATCTCAAAGACTGTTTTTTTACTATCCCTTTGCATCCATCAGACTCAGACAAATTTGCTTTCATGCTCCCAGCTAGGAATTTGGAGGTTCCCAGTCAACGATACCAATGGGTGTGCCTCCCCCAAGGCATGGCAAATAGCCCTACCCTCTGTCAGTTACATGTGAGTAATGCTTTGCATCCAGTCAGGCAATCCTTCCTAAAGTTGCATGTGGTCCATTATATGGACGATATACTACTTGCCGGGCCCTCTGAACAAATGTTGCAGGAAGCTCTCTTGGTCATACAGACTCATCCTTCTAAGGCAGGCCTTACAATAGGTCCTGAAAAATTACAGATGTACCCACCTTTTCAGTATTTAGGACAAATCTTTGAAAAGGATACGTATAGACCACAAAAACTACAATTGGCACTGATTTTCAAGAATTATGCGGTGACCTCGCTTGGCTCCGGCCTTCTTTGGGAATCACCATGGGTGAAATGCAACCCTTGTTTGACCTGCTTAAGGGGGAGCCGGATCCAGCTTCCCCACGATATCTTACACTCGCAGCTCATGCCGCTTTGCGGGCCGTAGAAAAGGCTCTGCAGACAACTACCCTTCGGCGCATAGAGCCTGTGAAGCCTTGTGACTTGCTCATTTTGGCCAGTCATCTCACTCCCACTGGTCTGTTCTGGCAAGATGGGCCTTTGCATTGGATTCATCTTCCTGTTTTGCCCAAACGTGTTTTGACGCCGTATTTTACGGAGATTCATCAGCTCATTATGGTAGCTTTAGAGCTCGGCGCCTCAATCTATGGTACCCTGCCAGACAAGATTGTTATCCCTTACACCAAATGGCAATTAGAATGGCTCATCCGCCATGACACTGATTGGACTATCCTGCACTGCATATTCTCAGGATCCTTTGACAGTCATTACCCTCGTCATCCCCTTATTCCATTCTTTCAAGCTCATCCCTTCTGCTTCCCGAGGGTTATTTCCACCACTCCTATTGCGGAGACATGCACAGTCTTTACGGATGGTTCATCCACATGGATGGCAGCTGTGTTCTCATGGACTTATTGCACCCAAATCCCGACACCACATAAATCTGCGCAGCTGGTAGAGGCCGTGGCCATTATCCATGTGCTGTGGCATTTTTCAGACAAGCCTATGAACCTTTATACTGACGGTAAATATTTGACCATGTCAGTCCCTTTGTTAGAGACTGTGGCATGCATTTCCTCGCAGAGCTCCATTCAATCTCTACTCCACGAAATTCAGCTTCTCATACGGGAGAGAGCTCACCCCCTTTTCATTGGGCACATTCGTAGCCATTTGACCATCCCTGGTCCGCTCACTGAAGGTAACCGTATTGTGGACTCTCACTCATTTCCACTGCCCTGCATTACAGAGCGCTCTTGAAGAGCACAACCACATGCATACCAATGCCCGCTCACTGGCCATTCATTACGGTCTTACCAGAGCACAGGTGTGGGATATTGTCTGTGCCTGTGAGCAGTGTGCTCCTTATATTCCTGCTCCCCAGAGTCAAAGAGGGGCAAACCCTCGTGGGCTCTTGCCTAATGATTTGTGGCAGATGGATGTAATGCACTTTTCTGCTTTCGGCCATTTGGCTTTCATCCAGGTATCTGTTGACACCTTCTCCGGGTTCATTTTCGCCATGCTCCATGCTGGTGAGGCGACCAAGGATGTTATATCTCACTTGCTCGCCGCCTTTGTACCCTCGGCCGCCCTAGGGCTCTAAAGACCGACAATGGCCCTGGTTATACCAACAAGACTTTTGCTACCTTTTGCAGTCAGCATGCTATACAACATCGCACTGGCATTCCTTACAATCCCCAGGGTCAGGCTGTCATGGAGCGCACGCACACCACCCTAAAGCCCATGCTTGAAAAACAAAAGGGGGAGTACCGATCCCCCAAGGACAGATTAACCTTAGCGTTATTTACCCTAAAATTTTTAACGCTGGACTCTTCTTCCTGCTCGGCGGCAGATCATCATTGGATGCCAGATGGCCATCCTCCCTTATGTACCACCAGGTGGAAAGACTCATCCTCAGGGGATTAGCAACCGCCCGTGCCGGTGTTAACCCAAACACCAGAACACCAGACAGTGTTTGTCTTTTCCCTGGGTCGACTGACCGTCCCATTTGGTTACTGTCGCATTTGGTCCGGTTTCTCTCCACACCCCCCCCCACCCCCGGTGAATCATGAAGATGCAGCCTGTGCACCCGCGGATCCTGATGTTGCTCTTGATAACCCTGACCGTGACGGTGTTGGGGGAGATCCGCTGGGCAGTGACACACCATCAGCTGTTCCTGCTTCCTGTCCATCAATATAGTGGCGTGTTTCCCCAAATATATGCCACAAACCTGTCCACCAGCCTTCCCTCTGTTCCTTTTGACTCCTCGGCCACAAATGTCACCGGGGTTTGGATCTTCACGAATGTCCTCTGCTTCCAGATGATGTTGCCTCAGGCAAACTGGACTGCAGACATGCTGATACTAATTCATTGCCCTCTGCGAAGGAAGAGCTGAATTATTCCGATGTTCCGTGTCAGCTTCAATCATGCTGGAACGTGTTGCGAGGACAACTGGTGGTGATCATGAGGATCCCTGGCACACTGTTACTGCCAGTCAACGTCAGCAACCTGGCCACAGCAGTCATCATCCGTAACGAAAGGGATGTTGGCATTACAGCAGCAGTGGTTGCTGTTGCAGCTGTTGCTTTAGTGGTGGCGGTGGGAGAGGCTTTGGCCATCTCAAATTCTGTGGCCACTGCAAATGCCATCAATACCTTGTTGACGGAGGTCGCTGCCGCATTAACTACCCAAAATGCACTCAACAATCATATTCATGTAGGGATGCTAAACCTGAATCAGCAGATAGCCTTGCTTCAAGAAGAAATTGATATGTTTAGGTTGACCTCTCATATTGCATGCATGCCTACCTACCAATACTCTTGTGTTACACCAGTTGTTTTGCATAATCATTCAGCAGTTGTACAAAGCCTTAGTGCTGCCCTGTGTGGCCCCTGAAGCCAGCAATTTCTTAACTATACCTTGCAATTGGCAAAACAGGTTGTCACGATCCACTCCACCAGGGCTGAAGTAATGAAGCCTGGAACCTTCACGTCTTGGCTCTCGAAAGCCCTGTCTTTTGCTAAGGTTTGGAGTGGTCTCGGCCTTTTGGCATCTGTGTTGTTTGGTAGCCTGGTCATAGCGTAATGCTTTCTTGTCTGCTATGTGCGTCGCCGCCACATCCTGCGCCTTGCCTTACGGCAGACGCAATGGAGCCCTGGACAGCAGAAGCCAATATGGATAAACATAGCTCTCTGTGCCCTGTGAGCCAATGACGGGTAAGAAGGTGTTGCGGGCATACCAACCTAAGATAGCGCCACTGTGCAGACACAGCGGTTGCGATGACGGGTAAGGATGATACTGTGAATGCCTCAACCTAAGACAGGACAGGTTCGCACATAAAGAAGGGGGAGATGTCCGGGTCCGTGGCAGGCTATTGCATAGCTTGAAATGCATATAGTTAACAGGAAGCCAGTAAAAGATGCACAGAAGACACTAGGGTCAATCAGAGAAAGCCACACAGTCCAAGTGTGGAACAGGCAAAGCGCAGGCGCAGCATAAGGTACTTAAGGGTAGGCGGAGAGGAAATAAAGTTCCTTTTTTGCAGCTTCTCATCAAGTGTGTCAGCCTCTCATTTCATCCCCAGCCCCTCTTCTGTGCCTCTCGAATCCCGCAGTTCGGGACACATTAGTGTTTTCCTTCAGGTTTTTGTTTTGTTTTGCTTTACAGCAGTTTTGTGGTAACTGGAGAAGGTGAGCCCACCATCTTCACTGTGTTATCATCTTTCAGGAATTCCCCAATTTTGTTTTAAACTATGTAATTTGCATTGAATAAGTGTTTGCATACAACACAGTATATGACTTCAAAGTATAGTACTTACCTCTTCAGATGTGTGTCTCTATATGACATTTGCCATTTTACACCCATAATTTCACTTATTTTTCCACCAATTGTATTGTATCTACAGAATTTATATATTTCTCTTCCTGAACAAAAAGCCATGCCTAATCTAGGAAAGTTAACACTTTTTCTGAATGTTGTCAGGCACAACAGTAATTGCCAATTCATTTTCTATTTCTTACTCTGCTCAATATTTAACCACAATGATGACAACAAACCCTTAATAACAAGTCTTACAATTGGCTCCATTTCTCCTATTTGAAATATGTTGACTATGAATTTTGATTCAACATGACCAATAACTTCTTAGCACATTTTTGACTCAAGAACTTTTAAAGTAGACCTCAACATCCATGAACATTTTTAGAAATACATCATCAGTTACTAGTCCCAGGGATTTGACAGCAGGCAAATATCACTCAACATTACTCAAGAGTGATTTTCTTTATTAAGATTTATTCTTAAAGTGGTTATAATCTTCATTTTTAAGATGCCCCAAAGCTGAAAACCTGTATCAACTACATTATACAATCTGAAATTTAAATTCATTAAATAGTTATGAGAAAAGGAGAACAAGTCATGTGCAATAAGCTAAAATTGCTGACATTGTACTCATAATAGGTTTTTTTCCTAGAGGTTTTATTGCAGTTATATAATAA